CTTGCAAATTTCCAATACATTTTTTCATCAAAACCTCCATAGGCCAGTAAATGAAATCAATGAAACTTTATAATACTTTCTTCAATTTCTTTTATCAATAGTATTTTCAAACTTGTATGACTAAACTGGTACCTATCTCGAACTCGGACTCGAGTCGTAGTAAATCTCCCATTCCAACTGACTATGACTATAAACGAAGTACAAGTGTTATCAAGAAATATATTCAAAACTCAAACGCTTTTGCAGTAGCTTGGCTCAGCAAGGAAGCCGATAACAATAAAGGATTTCGTAAATTATGCATGCATAGCGTCGGTGACATCATTCTAAGGAAGTAAGGTCACGCTCATTTCCAAGAATCGCCTGACAATAGACTGACAAACAACATTATTCAGACAACACCCTCAACTCGTCTGAAGAAATGGCATCGTTTGTTGAAGATCTTAAGAAGGAACTCCAATGTTCCCGGTGTACTGTTAAATCCTCAGCTTCTTGGCAATGTCGCGACTGTGATGATACTTTATTGCTGTGTGATAGATGCGAGGGCTGGCACTCATTGCTTTACAGTCACCGGGTCCGTCATCTGGCTGATTTGACGAGCGAGGATATTGAGAGGATAAGAGCTCGTGTTAATGCTGCTAATCAAGATCGTCAAAACGGATCAAACGATCAAACGGATTTCACAGCAGGCCATACGAGGGGCACTATTGAGGTGAAGTCTGAGACAGAAGCTTTAAAGACAGAAAGGTTGATAGTGACGACTAGATCAGGAGAACTCAACCAAATGCATGTTCAATTCAGGCCTGAAGGAAATGTGACAATAGTAAATAGATATGCGCCAGCGAGCCCGTTGTGCCCGCGGACATTTGTGCCTGTCATGCGCGCGCGCCCGCGCCAGTGACGCCTGTTCATTACTGTTGTTATTGGTCGGCCATCTTGCGACTACGTTTCATTATTAAAGCTTGTTCATTCGTTTACGTCGTTCGTCGTGTTTACTGGCGATGAGCGAACTGATGGTAAAGTTGGTACAATTGAATTCATGGCTAAAGTACCTGGTCAGTTGACAGCAGAGGTTCAAGTGAATGAGATTGATGCATCTACTAGTCGTCCACTAGTGGTGAATGTCAGGCCACAAAAGATGAGAATAACAGGACAGTTCAACATGGAAGGTGTAAATATAGGATCTAGTGAAATAAGAGATATAGCAGTAAATAGAGACAATAGCAGGATCGCTGTTTCTGCTATAAAATATAGCAGCCTTAATTGGGGTACAATCGTACGAAGAGGTATCACAGCAAAAATAGACAGGAGCCGTGGTCCAAATGAATTTCCTTACGGTGTCTTTGTATTCAACATTGATGGAAATCTCTTATGTTCGTGTGATATTGAAAGTGATGAACATAATAGTCCTCAAGGTTTAGCATTTCTGAATGATAAAGATTTAGTCATAGCAGACCGCGGTTATCACAGAATGTGTATAGTGAACACTACAACAGGGGCATTGGTAAAACCATTTGGTAACCAAGGTAACGGTGATGGACAGTTTCGTTTTCCATGTGGAGTACACGTTGATGACGATGGTAACATCATTGTGTGTGATGGTGGTAATCATCGTGTTCAAGTCTTCACAAGAGATGGTGACTATCAATATCAGTTTGGTTTGAGAACACAGGACGTGTTTTTTCTTGGTGATGTGATAACACATAAACGACTGTTTTACGTCAGTGATGATAATAATCACATTATTCAGGTATTTAAGAAGATACATAACGTACCGACTAGAATATCGACGATTGGTGGTCAAGGCATTGCTGATGGTCAGCTGGTTGGACCATGGGGCCTGGCTATTGATAATGACTATCATCTACTGGTGTGTGATAATGGTAATAACAGCGTACAAAAATTCACATTGGATGGTCGTTTTGTAGGACAGACTTGTGATGTAATCAAGAAACCTGAGTATATAACTGTTTTAAGGGATGGTCAGTTATTAGTTAGTACAGGGATGACTGATGATGAAATCGATAACCCTACAGGTACAATTGAGGATGATCAGTTAGCAGTTAGTACAGGGATGGCTGATGATGAAATCGATATCCCTACAGATACAACAGAGGCTGGTGACGACTCTCTCTATATGAATATATATAACCCAAGAAATGGTCGGTTATCGGTTCGAGGGGGTTCTGGTTTGTTATTTGTAAAGTAGTATTAGTATTTTTCAGTAACATATTTGATAATTTAATGATGTTTGATAATATTTAAGAACTATTCGCCGAAGGCGGAGTGGTGAATTTCGGGGAATATTCACGGAGACGCGAGTGTAATTGTGCGTATACATTTTTAGGCCAATTAGTAGGTTTATACAAACGAGTTAATAGCCCATTCGGCCTCATGGGCTATTGACTCGTAGACTAATCGGGCTGCAGGTCTAATAATATTGTTATTGTGCGAAGTTCTCCAACCAAGGCCACCTCGACACATTGTCTACAAATTATCCAATAGTATTTGAGTATTTAGACCGTTGCTTAGAAGATTAGCGTCAGATTTTGAATTTAGATATTCTTCCGTTATTCAGATTGGCAAAACTAAATGATGAACAAGAGTTTGTAACATGTTTCCTTTGCAAATATAGTGATTTGTGTCACAAAAAAGGGGGAAAAAAAAGTAAAGTGCGACTTCAAAAACGACAGGAAAGCGAATTAGAAACCGTATAATACATAATATTCAAGATTATAGTGTGTTTCTTCAAGACAACGATATTTAACAGGCTGACACTGTTAGATCTTATCGCCATGTTTCCTGGAAACAGCATCTCGCTTATATATCTACATCTATTTTACGTATCACAGGTATTATATGCAAATAAAGACACTACTTATCACTCAAACAGTTAAAACAGATACTATAATTACTATAATTTAATATACCCTTACTTATAATTGGCACATCAACAAAATTCAAGTAAAACAAAGCCATATCATGCGACTTATTTTCTTTGCCACACCTTATAGAAAAGACACGGAAAGCGCCAAACCACTTTTGAATTTATTAGATACTTTATCTGTCGAAAATATATACAAAAATATATATAAATATATATAAAAGTGTTGGAATTTATGCACCTCTGGCATAATGCAAAACTACCAGCTGTATTTAACCCAGTGTTTACGTATGCCAATCAGGTGCATTCATACGAAACCAGATATGCATGCAAACAAAACATATATAAACCAAAAATGAGATAGACAAGCAAACTGTATCATTTGCTGCTGTTAATCTTTGGAAAAAACTGCCAATGCATATCAAAAAACCCCAAAACATTCTCCTTTAAAAGTAAATTGAAAGACCACCTTTCAAATCAGAGATCATAAGTATTTCTAGTGTACTGTACTATATACGTTTTTATATCAACTAGTCCTATTCTGCTTTTTCTTCATTTATATGATTTCAGTATCTTGTATATCTGATAGTAAATGAATCAAAAATCTCTCTATCCGGTACACATCAGTCACCAACATAAATATTTGTCACTTTTCTCTGCACGTCCATTCCGAGTTTACATTTAGTATATATTTTTGTCAACAACTGAAGGTCGCTCCACTCCCCTCTCTCCCCTCCCCTCCCGTCACCTATGTAAATAATTGTGTACTTTCTAAACATTCGTTAAAAGTTTTCATTCTACTTATTTGTTAAAATATATCCCATCTTGTAAATATAATATTTCATGTTAATTCTAATGTTGTGAGAGCTTTGTTTAACACATGGGGGTTTTCTCAGCCTTTCTGTAAAAAAGAAATGCAGAAAAACCTTGCTATTGCATGTCTAACGTTCGTAAAAGCATTAAAAGCTGTATTAAAAATATTTTATTTGCAGGATAAAGAGCTGAAAGACTTGTTTTTCTTTTTCAACCAAACACACCTTATGGCCTTTAGGCCCATGTACGCGAGGATAGATAACTGATAGATGTCCGAGGTTGTATCATTAGTTCTCATTTTACATGAACAAGTCGCTCCCTTATTTCATTTATCAACAAGTTTTTTTTTACAATTCAAAACTATTAGCAAGTTAACCTATATGTATATTTTGCAGTTCTTGGGTTCCCTGTGGAGTTGGTTATTTCCAGTAGTCCTTCTGCTTATGCCACAGGGATACCGGCTCATGTACTTAACCAGATATTAATTCGAGCCACGAATTCTTGATATTGCCTTTGAAGTCCTGTCATGTGATTCATGATCCGATCAATTAATTTATCTCTTTTACGATATACCTTGGTTACTTAGGCCCTGGCTAAACAACGAGGAAACATGTTTCCCAAAATGTTTCCTAAGGTGGCAAAACTGTCAGGAAACATCGGGAAACAATGTTTCCATGCGTCTTGGAAACATGAAATGTTTCTGCCGTACATCAAAAATATTTTTTGCGTCTTGGAAGCAAAATTTGCTGCACGCAGCAATGTTTCGCATGTGGCTAAACTGGGAAACATCGAAGAAACATGCGCGCGGTAAACCTGTTTCTGGAAACATGCTTCCTCGTTAAGCCAGGGCCTTACTCATTCTTCGTGTCCCTTGGGAAAGCCTAGCTTCGTCACGTTTATTATTGCCTTTATAGACAAAGTAGTGTAGTTCTTAAATCATAACGATTATTTTATATTCATAAATTAAAATATTTCATGTCCAGGTTCCTGTGGAATATTCTAGGACGTGGGTACTGGGCACGACACCTAGATAGGTTTATCAGGAAGGGGAAGGACGGTTATTCCTATTGTTTCTGGATGTATTGCGTTGGTGTAATTTTCTACGAAGTGTCCGTGTCTTGTTGCATGAGGTCCTCGTATGGCTGGCGGTGGTGTGTTGACAGGCCGTAATCTTTGATATACATTCCTTCTTTTTAGCCTCATAGCACGAAATGACAGGCATAGCGCCACAGATGAAAGCACGGCCGTAGTAGCAAAGCAACCAGCGAGTAATAACAGATATGGTTTAGAAATCATGGATTTGGAGCTCGATTCATTGTTTTCCTCGAGTTTGCAGTCACCTGCGCTGCAGTCCTGTTCGCATCGTCTTGCCTTGCACACGAACGAACACTTGCCAGACAAACACCGCTGTACACAAAAACCCACGCCACTTGTACATTCCATAGCGCAGCCATGGCAACTCTGAATACATGTCCCGGATGAGCAGCTTATTTTCTGGCATGGATGTTGTCCACACATTTGGGTACAGCCTTTAAAAATGTGCTGCCCATCACGTCCATTGCATTCGCAATTCGTTCCGTTACATTTTTGAATGCACCAGTCTTCGAGAATGGAGCTGCAATGGGTTGATGATGTCACTGAGTCCAAGGCCAATAGGAAGGAGGTGATGAAAAGCACGTGGAGAGACTGCATTCTTGAGAAGGATGCTAATCTGAAATATAACAAGAAAGACGTCTTCTAAAGGGCTGAATCTTTGTCTCAGTTCTAACTATAATGTCTATACATGTATACGTGTTCTCTACCTTTTGGGGTTTATTAGAAACAATAGACCCTTCTAGCTCAAGAGCATCATGAATGCAAGGCGCTAGCACGGATATGCAAAAGAAATAGCGCCACAAATTCCATCGAGAAAAAGCGTGATTTCTTTCGTATTTCCATGTGATTCTCGCATCTACGATGCTTGGGAATTGCCCATTGCATAGTTTATGGGGGGATAGAAGCCAGCAGTAATTATAGCAATAGCATGCATGCGTTTGCGAATCACATCTGTAAAAGGAATAATTCGATTGTTTAGAATTGATTTCTTATTATATATATATA